GTAATAGACAAACCAGCGATTCACATGAGAAAAGAGTTCAAGTGAGGAGGAGAGAATGGCTCCCTACCCCAACAACACAAACCATACCAGGAATAACTGGGTAGTGCTAGACTATCCAGGACACTGTTTGGAGGGGTTTGGGCCCCAACCCCCTCTACAGCAAGGCTTTCAGTCTGCACAGAACGGAGTAGTGATTTACTATGAAATGGGCCATAGTTTATCTGACTTCCTCTCTCTCTCTCCCCACAGCGTACTGCAGGGAAGTGGGTGTGAGCTCTACGGGCAGTGCTAATGCTCTTATTTCTGTGGAACAGGAATGCTTCTGCCAGCTAAACACAGTGAAACCCRCTCACAACAGATACCAAAGGGACATCTATCCCTCCGCTCTCCATACCAACTGGTTGAATAGAGCAGGGCAATTAGCTCCTAGGAACTCAGAGGCTGAGATCTGCCACCTGTGAGAGTCAGCGCTGCCCCGTGAAGGCAGCAGTGCCGAGAGCTCGGGCCAGATGCCCTGGCAAGGTACCAGCACAGCAGGCTCTCACCGCCTGCAATGAGCCCGGGAATCTCGACAGGGGTGGAGCGGGAGCGCAGACAGTGAACAGGAGAACAGGGAGGTCAGGGGAAGCACTGAGCATTATCTGAACTTGAATATAGCTAACAGGAAGAAAAGCCTTAAGGTGGGAGAGTGAGGCAGGAAAAGCAGAGCAAAAGAAAACAGAATGGGAAGAAAGAGAAACAGTGAAAGAGCTAGAAAAAGAACAACCCATAGTTAGGAGAAGACTAGGCTATTGAATCCAAATCCAAAGTTACTAGTGGCTACCCTATTTAGAAAGGTTTCACTATGGATATGAATATACATGGATACATGTAGGTTKCATCTGTGCCTCCAAAAGTGCTTTTGCCCAGATCACATACAACCCACGTACGTATTCTTCTACTGTTTGCCGTCATTGGAGCTGCAATAGTCAAGCRTCCTTCTGTGCTTAGAAGGGACCTTCTCTCCTGGATTGCAAGGTGGGCTGCAGGGGAGGGGCAGGGTGATAATCCTCAGATATTCTTCACRGGGAAAGGTCAAAATTATCTGCAGAAACACAGGAGAATAACAGACCAAGTGACAGCACAGCTCTTGACTACTATGACCCGATTATATGGCCCAGCTCTGCAGGAGCTCTACTTAGCCTAACTGCTGTTACTGCCAAGCAAATAATTTGGGAAGAGGTGTAGGAGAATGTAATAAAGCTTTGTGAGGGTCTTTGTAGACAGTACTAGCTATTATTAAAATTTTCCGAAACTAAACGGAAGATGGAGGCAACAGAAATAACAAAAGACATTAGTTGTGACTTTTTTTTTTCCTACTGACATTTTGAGWTGCCATTTCAAAAAGGTCTATCTCGAGGCATACATACACGTGCTGGAGGCTGGGCATAATTATTTAGCCTCATTGAGTCACAGMTGTTACCTTTAAGTGCTTTGTCAGTTGTCACGCACCATCTGACAATCATGTTGAAGACATGAAGTACAAGCAAGAACTGCACGTGTATTTTCTATGTATAGTGCTGCATATTGCAAAGTCACTGTCAAAGGCAAATCTAGACAACTATTCAGGTAGGTTTTTATGCTACTTGGACATGAAACAACAGTGCCATGTACTCATCCTTGTGACACCGGTCTCTTGGTTGACATACAGGGATCAATAGAGACCTACATAGCTACCAGAGCTTCAGCACAGTTGGAGAGCGAGGTGTATGACGTGACTTTATGACCTGGTATTCGTGGAGCTTTATCAAAGAAGCTAYTGCCCAGAAGTCTGCTCTTGGCCCATTTCTGTTTGATATGCATATTAACAACCTGCTATTTCAATTCATGATGCTAAGGCTGTAGCTGTCACTAATCTAAAAGCATCTGTAGACACTTTGGATGACAGAATGAGAATTGCTTTGAAGTCTGATCACTGGACAACTATGCCCTTTGCTGTCTGCTTTGCGACAGAAGGAACGAAGACTGCTAGGCTGGAAAAAATCCCTTGCTTTGCTGCAAAAAGTTAACTACCTTTACAGATTTGTTCAAGAGGTAAAATGAAGAGTCGAAGTTATACACTCCCTGCAGCACTGAACTGTATTACAGGATGTCCGAAAGGACAGGGATAAGTACAGTCCAGTCCAGTCCAAATCACGTTGTTTAGCTTGAAGTGACAAAGAACAGAATTTCACTAAAGATATTCACTGACTTCAAAACACAAACAACTCATAATCTCAGAGTCAGTTTTTTCTATATATATTTTCTGAAAGAGCTTATTGCAATATTCTTAACTACTTAATGACAAAGCTATGCATAGTCACCATGATTAGGGGAGATGCATTATTCTGTACAAATATATAATCACAAACCTTTATGGACCTAATCCAGCTATCATTATACCAACAACCATCCGAGATGCTTTAAAATAAGCCACAGAAGAGGGACCAGCACACACTAAAAAGTCTCAAATACAAAGTAATTTTGCTAAAAGCTAGTTCAGTACTATCAGGGTATGAGCTGATTTTTGCAAAAATGTCAGGCAGGCTTCAGCACTTCATTGAGATTTTGTTGCTGCATTGAAGTTTCGCGATTACAGTTGTGAAGTTTCACATTAAATGCACACAGCAATAGAAGTCATCCCTGCACTCAATGAGGAATGTCTCTCCTTATCACAGTGTCAGCTGGGTAAGCGAGTCACATCTCTGCCTATGAATAATTTCGGGGGCAACCTTGTTGTATGAAATCTAGCATACTTGAACATTATTACTCAAATAAGAAATATTTAATGCTTCTAGTCTAACACAAGTGTGAAATTTCCTCTAGCTTTGAATGGTCATAGACTCTAAACAAAAACATCAACCAGCCAGGTTAGACATGGGCGTCGTGGATGACAAGAYGACCATGAGGCAGCAGTGTGCCCTGGTGGCCAAGAAGGCCAACGGGATCCTGGGGTGCATTAAGAAGAGTGTCTCCAGCAGGTCGAGGGAGGGGATCATCTCCCTCTACTCAGCCCTGGGGAGGCCACATCTGGAGTACTGCGTCCAGTTCTGGGCTCCCCAGAACAAGAGGGATGTGGAGCTGCTGGAGAGAGTCCAGCGCAGGGCTACSAGGATGATCGGGGGCCGGGAACATCTGCCCTGTGAGCAAAGGCTGAGGGAGCTGGGCCTGTTCAGCCTGGAGAAGAGGAGGCTGAGGGGGGACCTGATCAGTGTCTATAGATACCTCAAGGGAGGCAGTGAGGAGGAGGGGGCGGCCTCTTTTCAGTGGTGGCCAGCGACAGGACTAGAGGAAAYGGCCACAAGCTGAGGCACCARAAGTTCCACAGGAACTTGAGAAAACACTTCTTGACAGTGAGGGTGACAGTGCCGTGCAACAGGCTGCCCAGAGAGGTTGTGGAGTCTYTTTCTCTGGAGATCTTCAAAACCTGCTTGGATGCAGCCCTGTGCCAYGTGCTCTAGGYGACCCTGCGTGTGCAGGGGGGTTGGACTMGATGACCTCTGAGGTCCCTTCCAACCTTAAGCGTTCTGTGATTCTATGATTGCTCTTTCAAAAAGAATTTTGACCTTTCCCTGCACAGAGATACTCAATATTAAATTAATTAAAAAAATGCTGCCCCCAGATGACAAATATTAATTGAATCATCATAGGATGTCCTTAGATTGGCACATAAGACATCACATAAATTCACAAGCTGATTTCAAATTTAAGCAACAACAATAAAAGTGAAATAAGCTAAATGAGTAAATTCTTATAGAGACTGGGTTTAAAAAAAAATACACATGAATCTGAATCTTGYCCCCATTCAATAGAAGTCAAAGTTCTTTTGCCTGAGAATTCCTTGTCCTGCCCTTATCTTAGTATCATCTTCTCCTATGGGCTCCTTTTTGGAAGAACATTCAAGCAGTAGAGAGTGCATCAAGTCAAAGCATTTTTGAAAGTAAATAAATTGAACGTTTTATTTAGAATGAGTGCATGTTGTATTTTGATAATGTAATTTAAAAAAAAAAGTTACATGTGAATACATTCTGCTCTCTACTTGCAGAATGCTTCCATATTCCATATTGGATCCACACTCCATTAGAGGCAAAAAGCATGACAAGAGACTTTAAGAAGTTATTCAAGGTCAAAAATGACAGTGAATTAAATCTTATAAATTATATTTACCAATCTCACTTAATGTCTCTTTGAGGTTTTCACCAATAGGGAACATATGGAACATATGGAAAAATCAATGTCAGATTAATATCTAACTCTAATATGATCACTGAATACTCCTGCACCTGCTGATGCTTGCGCACTAGACCTTGCTGACATGGTACCATGCAAGTCATTCTTGGTACAGAAGGAACTAATTAGCTGAGCAGGACATTCAGAAACTCCATTCAGTGTAGATCCACAGCAGAATATGGCATACAGATTTTAAAGGTTTGGATAAGTGATCAGATAAAACTTGCAGTTAGTGGAGATTAAGTGTGAGTTYACAGACTTCGATGACATTCGATTGACTACTTTATGGTAGGTAGCAACCACACAGTTTTTTTCTGGCTTCCAATAAAACATTATCTGATCACAGATGCCAGTCTCCTTTTTAGATTCAAAAGCAAGGAAAAATACCTTCCAAAATAGTCCTATTTTTGATTTTGTCTCAAAGGAAGGAAAGGGGGGAGGGAAGTACTTCAACAAAAAAGCAATGAAGAAATAAATAGCATCCTATTCACAGGAGCTAATTATGTTTACCAAAATAGTACCAGAAATGACTTTCAGTAAAATGCAAATAGTAGCAGAGGGAGATAAATAAAAACCCAATAGCTTCATTTGGTATGGTTTTGCAATCACAGCTTTCAGAGGCAGGAAGCAGAAAAAAAGCAAGTAGTAAACTGCTTTCCAGTAACACAGGAATAATAAAATTACAACCAGCTGGTAAACAGACAAAGGGCAAGTAGAAGTGAGTGACAGAAGCAACTTTTAGTGACACAGGCATGACATATAACCAGTTTCCCATCCTTTGCCAAATAAGCCTCTCGGAGACACCTAAAGGACACATGTCTAAGTAAGAACTCAGAATAAAATGTCACTTTACTACTATGAAAAGCATCTCTACGGATTCATCTTCACTGTATTTAAGTGATGCTGAACTGCAGGGAAGTATGTAGATGGMCTCTGGACCACAAACAAATTCAACAATACAGCCTCAGAATGCAGATGGATGACATCTGGAAACAAATTAGACACAATAAAATAACTGAACATTAGTCTTTGTATAATTAGTTACAAACTGACATTAATTGCACCTTTCCTTAGATTTCTGTGAAGCTATTCTCAATCACATGCTTTCTAATTTGCTTGAAGCCCTGTGAAGCAGCATGTGCCATATCACAGGCTGACGCTTCCCATAGTTTCCTGCCATTTCAATGCAACAGCAATAGAATTGCATTTACACTTCCTAAAGACTCTTGTCATCTAGGTACCATAAAAAAAAAGAATATACACAATAAGAAAACAATATATAAGAAATATCCCTGAATATTCCCATTAATCAAAGAGAAATATCAATGTTCTGCAAGTATTCACATTTAAATTGTTCCAGGTTCTAACAGAAAGTATGCAATTAAAACAACAAGATCAAAACAGAAACAGAACAAGAGTTAGGTTTTAAATCTCTCTGGAAGGCATCATATCTGCATAAACATTAATAGGGCCATTCCTTTTATTTTTGTTGATTATATTGCAAATGGGCTTGAAATACTTTCCCTCATTAACAAACAGGAAAGTTATTTGAACAGCACTTCACCTGGAGAGACTGCACGCTCTTTAGGTATGAGTCTTCCCTTTCATAAAGGGAGCTCTGCTTCTTAAAAGAAATCCCGAACCGTTTCCAATTACCTGTCTGGTCTCTATTTAGATGACGGTAACATTTTTATATGTCTGGGAAGAACATACCAGATAGCTGATGACATGGCAGAAATTCAAGTGGTATTTTACTGTGGACAAAGTGACAAAAATCCAGCCCCAGCCACCCTCAAACTCTGCAAGTTGCCAGTCATTGTTTTCATTCCTGTGACTTCAGCCTTTGCTTTTCTGGGTGCACCTGCTTCCTCAGAGAAGCCAAGCACTAACAGTGAGGTGAAGCTGAGCCATCGTTCTTCCCCCTCTCCCCTATTAAGCACAACTTGCTGTTTCAGTTGAAGTTCACAACATTTTTTTCCACATACTCTGGAGAAGAGGATTTAAATACTGCACTTGCTGCATACCAGTTGGCCCTAGTTACCGTTTAGTTGTGGCTTGGTGCATTTGTGAAGTATGAGGAACACCATTAGGATGAACAGTACAAAGTAAATAATGCCGTACCCAACAGAGTTGAGTAATGCCCCAATATTTACATTTTTAATACATATCGCACACATATGTGTAAGTTTAATAAACGTTTACACACAACAGAGCTGCAAAATGTCACAATATTTATATTTTTAGTACATATCTCAAACGTGTACAAGTTTAATAAAAACTTACACACATAGTCAATCACTGCAAGGTAGTTAAAGCTTACAACTGAAGCTTAAAATTACTAATTTCATAGCTGTGAAACAGAATTTCTTCTGGAAACTCAAATTTTCTTTTGGAAGCCTAATTTTTAAGAGATGTGCAGCAAGAYAAGCCACATATTGCTTATTTGATAGGCAAATTACTTCATCATCGAATGTATACACTTTTCATCTTGTTTAAGAACAAGCAGATCATTAGCAGAATTGTTTTCCTACTGGCTTCTGAGGAAAGAAGCGTGTGTGGATTAGATCACTCCTTTAGCTGTGTATACATCTTTCAGTACAAAAATGTTATTAAGAGAATATCTRGAGTAAAACAGACAGTAGCAGAATGAGTGGAAATCTCAGAGAAAGCATTAGGAGATAAAAGGTTGTGGAARGACAGAACTGCTCTTCCTCTGCCATCTGCTATAGACAGGAAAGGACAAGACAGGGTATGAAAGTAATGGTAGTCCAAACCTAACTGTATACGCGACTATTCTTCACACCCCCAAGCGTCCATAGGAGGCTCTCCTCACCACAGGGTAATAATTCTCCTCCTCCTCCTCCTCCTCCTCCTCCTCCTCCTTCTCCTCCTCCGCCTTCTCAGCTTTCCTGTCTCCTCAGCTGCTTTCAGACACTACAACAATGGCTTTTCCTAGGATTACGCCAACAACACTAAAGTGTTTTCCTATACAAAGAAAACAACCTCCTGCCCTCCCTACCCCAAAAAAGTTACCTGAAAATAAACTTTTAAAGTCCTTCATCTGTGCTTCATGGCGTTTAAAATGTCAGTGCACACAGAGGCAAATTTCACCTGCAATGACACAGCTGAAAAGTAGTATGATCTGAGTAAATAAGAGAAAAAAAGATGAAGTGTTCTCAGAGGCACTGACTTGACTCACTTAAGCATTTAATGCCTATTGATCTTAATGGATCTTAGGAACTCATATTCCTCGGTGAGCCTAGGACTTGCATTAAGACCTCTCAAACAAAAAGCCAAGCTCACACACAGGCTTTCACCTGCTAAGCAAGTTCACTCTGGGTCATAYTCATGTCAGCTTTCATACAGGCAATGCTGGCAAAAGGAGCAGCAGTCATTTTCCCATAGCTCGGGGCCTGAAACAAGCTCTTGCTTATACAGAAGTAAATTCAGCGTAATTCCATTTACTTCATTTGACGGGATTTGGCCTCCTGCGTGACACTGCCTGTGGTAAAAGGCAGCTGAACTGCGACATTTCCTTCCCTCCCCCTCCGTAAGATTGCATTTTAAGGAGAACGTTTACCAAGAGCAATGCCAGCTTTCTGCACCATTTTCAGAGACTGGTAGCCTCTGTATAGAGAAACACACCGAAGCGGGGCAATTTTTCATAGAAGAGAATCAGGAAGCCATGTACAGGCACAACACACGCTATAAGATAACTTACTTCACACAAGTCCATTTAAAAAAAAAAAAAAAAAAAAAAAAGAAGGAGGGGGGGAATCAGGCAGACGTAAGCACAAAGGGATCCGCGTGCTCGCCAGGACAAAAGGACGGAGAAGCTGGCGCTGCCCGACCGGGCAGGAGGCGAGAAGCAGCCCCGCCTCGGGAAGCGGCGCCGCCGCCATTTGCGGCAGGCGCGAGGCCGCGCCCGCCTCCCGCCTCCCGCCGCGCCGCCATCCCGGCGGAGGGGGAACGCAGCAAGAGGCCGGGACGGAGGAACATCCCGCGTCGCTTACGCTCCCCTGACATCATTGTTCTTCCCACTGAAAATTACGGCAGCTGGAATCCTCTGCACCGCAGCACCTGCTGCTTATGCCAAGAAAGCAAGCAAAGTGTGTCATTGCTGTTGATAGAAGGATAAATATAGTTGAAGTCAGATTAATATTTCCAAGATTACTCATTTCTACTTCAAAAGAGAAGCAAAGATCATGTGCAAAGTGACAGCTACCCATCTGGGACTAGAAAAGTCACCATATGGATGTCTTTTTGCTAATTATAGATAAATTTCTGAACAAAYGGATTCAAAAGTAGAGACCTGCGAGTTCAAAACTGCACTTGCTCTGCRACCTCATTCAGGCAGCTCTCTGGCGCTCGCTCATGAATTGAGCGTGGCCTTAGCAGGTCACTGCTTTACCCTAAACATGGCAGTTTTGCCCTGCTGTCACACAGCCACCTTTTGTAGCCCCATCCAAGGGAGCTTGGTACAATGCAGTTCCATAATTATGTAGGCTGGAGGAACCATTATAATCTTTTGCGATGGTGTGTCACTTCTCTGGGCCTCGAGATGTCCTTGTGCCATTTCCTGCTTCATTTACAACACAGCTACTGAACTACAGTATATATTTTTGAAAACATTTCAAGTGGATTAACAGATTTTTTAATAACATAATTATCACTCAAGATAAGTTGTTCCAAAAGCAATTAAGTTACATCAATGATTAAGCCTGTATTTCTGACTTTCTCAAAGTTGGTTCCTCTTTTCCTACAAGATTAATTCTTGTCGCATTTTGTCTCCTGGATTGACTGATTAATCCTCTATCAAACTAGTGAAAATGATGCATGCATATTCATAGGTTGATCACATTGTTCTTCAGCCATGGCTTTGATACTCCAAACAGACCAGGCTTCTTGACCTTGAGCAATGGTTTCTATACTTTAAATCGTAAGAGAAAAGCTCTTCTGAACCCTGTAATTTTTGGCCTCCTTCTAGGGCTGTGAATGCCAGATAATACCCCAGCAGCAATTATACCAGTGCCAAACACAGAGCCTGTGCTGTCTTTTCACGCCTGCTTAGCATTTTATAGCTTTTATACATGGATTGCATTAGCCTCTTTGTCATGAAGGTAGGAATTAACTKCAGCACATAAAGACAGGTGATGTGAAGAAAACTGCCATCCCCAGTCAATGGCGAGAAGCAGGCTTTTCTGCAAGACTGTTCCATAGTTCYGTAGACTCTTCTGTAGCCCATGCTATGTTCGTTCCCTTCCACARAGCCTCTTTTGCTGCTGTCAACACTGCATAAGCACGTTGGACCTCACGCACTGCTGCCTCACGGCTTGGAGGTGAGAGACATGCAGCAGTGTCTCGTACCTGACCAAAGTTCATTCCAGCCAGATGTGGGTTAACATTCAGGGCAACGCGCCAGGGACATTCTTCATGATTTTGTGCTCCCAACTCAGCAGGATCACACATTCATGTAATGAAGCCAGACATTTATCTTTCTGTTATGCACAGTTATACCTGTAGCAGCTAGACATGCTACAGCGTCTGTCTCCTAGAGATTGCCAACAGTTGTCCTGGATATCTTCTGAGACAGAGAATGAGATGGAACACAAAAGAGACAAACACATGTGGCAAGTGCCTGTGATCCTTCTATTTAAGAGAAAAAGAGCAGATTTTCCAGTGAAATGTAGTTGCCTCAGAAGCTGGTGCTGGCAGGAAAGCAGGCTACTGCTAAGAGCAGACCCTGGCATCTTACATATGCGCACACACTATGTAGAGTGGAGACATAACTGTAAATAAATGAATGCATTTACTTATATGACTTCTGAAGCAGGAGGTGATTTTTTTTTTATTGAACATAGTTCTAGCTTTTTTTTTTTTTTATTGAACATAGTTCTCATCCTGTGCATTTGCAATTAGATTCACATTCTTTATCCTGGATAAAGTTCTTGTACCATCAAGGAACTTTTTTTTCTACTACATACCATACCACCCCATTTAACTACAAGAGTCAGCTCCATCCACTTCACTAAAGCCTCATTTCCAGTCTTGTTTTGAACAACTTTGTTACACTTCACCTACACTAGGAAAACTGGAAGCTTAATGCAGGCACACTCATAAATGCAATTTGCCCATCCCCATACAGGCCTCAAAATGTAAGACCATCTTAAGTCACCCAACTCCCTATGACCTGCAACTTTTCCTCCTCATCTCATAGGGCTTTTCACCCCTGCTTTCAGGAAGTAAGCTTAAAGCACGCAAATGATTGAAGCCTTCTACTAAATCAAGGAGCCTATGTTTGCCAGGACAAGAACTAGGAAATCAAAAAAAGCTGCTAGCAGCCTTCCAAAGAATCAGCTAGAATCCAGCTTTAGATTCAGTCCTACCCCAGTAAAACATAGGCAAGAGCAGAAATCTGCCCCTGTACCTCCTGTGGCTTGGCACTAAAATCCTCTGTCTTGCTCCTGAGCAGTTTCCTTTGAAAGAGGATAACAAACATCTACCTCTTAAGATGGTTGGTAACTTACACACTGTTCACTACACACTAAAGGAGAATCTGTTTCTGTTTGAAGCCTGCAAGACAAAACTTGAAAGAATTTCACCTCCAAAAAGCTGTGAGCGCTGTCTCTGCCCTGTTTATATCCAGACCAGCTGGGTTCTGCCTAATGGTTAGTGCTGGCCTGGAATATGGGAAACCATCAAACCTCTTGCTTATCTGAAAAAGTAACATTAAAAGTTCCAGAAAAGAAAAATTCTTACCTTAATGGAGAATARGTTACTTTTAGAACTAAGTGTTTTAAGTTGTTCTTTATGTCTTTCATCCAGACTATTCTGACAATAATATGAGATTATGGGGAGAGGGTGCAAAACTGTCTGTGTTAATGAGCCAGTCCGTCCTCTAAGGTGACATGAGATGGGTTTAGCTACAGTTGCTGCCGACAGAGGAGGGGCGTCTGTATTCTATGATGAATTCCCTGAACTTTACTGAATTCCCTGATGATGATAACATAARATGTTAACGCGCTGCTGGGCTGGTATCTATAGGAGATGGCAATGTAGTAGGTCATGTTTAAAGTACCTGAAAAATAGCAGGCACTTTGATTAAATGGCTAGTATATTTATAGCAACTGATAAATACGGTGAACTAACTTTTAAGAAGCTAACATCCCACTTAAAAAGTTTCCAGAGATGTTCATGTTTTGCAACAGAAATCAGGGTGTTCTTTGCTCTTTTCCCCAGGCTTAGCTTGCTTATGATACCTTCTTTTACATTCAGCTGGAGGATCACTAGGAATAAATAAAAGAATTCATGTGGAATTTTTACCTATGGAAATACCTGTTCTACCTCTTTGATGCTGTCCTGCATCTTAATGTGAAACTGAGGTGAAAGGAAGACGGGAATCTCTGAGAAGAGCAGAGAAAAAACAAATTTAGCCTGCCTGATGGAGTTGAGGAGTTGGCATCATCAGGCTGTTTATCTGCTAAAAATATGAAATACAATATGAATCATTACAATTCCAAAGAAAAAAAGATATATTTGTAAGGCAACAGCAGCGGATGCTTATGCTTCCTTAAAATTAGCTTCAGGCCACTTGTTTGTATCCCAAGATGATATTCAGGAAACAAAAGAAGGAAGTTTCTGTACTGCGAATTTCTGCTAGASTCAGTTCAGAATTAGAGCAGGTGTGAGATGAGCACTGTCTGGGAGTGAATGCATGCAAAGCTCTGGTCTGCTTGGACTGCTAAGCATGCAGCCCCTTACATAAACTAATACAAAGATTAAAGTTTTACATGTAAAACTTGTCTATGCAGGAAAGCAGTAGTGTGAATTTGGGTCCTTTGATGCAATGCTATGTTTATAAGTATATGCAGCTATAYCTAGAAGAGATGGATTTAAGGTAATGACCAGTATGTCCTTGTCTAGGACATTCTAGGTGAGATGTCCTAGTCAAAAAGTTGTTAAGAACAGATGTGGCACAGCATGGCAGTGGCGTGTCTGTGTTTTTGTATGTGTATGTACCTATACAAACTTTTAACCAGGCGAAACATGCATTCTGATAGATTTACCCAAGTGATAGTAATTAACAGAGATATACCCTATTAGGCATGCAAAGTCCTTATGCTACAGAGTCTGCAACTGTCTATGTAAAATACGAATCCTGGATGGGACGTTACAATATCTGCCTAAAGGAAAATCAATATACTTCACCTCAAAGGACTTTAACAAAGCCATTCAGAAATTTATAACATGTTTCTTTGCCTTAGCACAGACTAACAAATATCAAAGCACTCAGATAGAAGTAGGATAGATTTTCTTTTATAAAACTTTTATTGGTCAGATGAAGTGTACATTCATCCCCCTACTCAAATCTACGATGGATGTTTTAAAAGCATCTTATTCATTAAGCCATGCATTATGCCCTGTAGAATCTCTACTAAGTACTACCTCTAAACGAAATTATCACAATGATTTTGCTAACAGGTTAATCTGATGACTATTTTTTTTCCAGATAGGCTATTAAATAATATAAAGAAAAGAGAAGAGCCTTGCCCCCACAGGTTGGAGTATTTGTTTCTCTGTTTACTATAAATAAGATTGTGATAGACTTTATGAAGTGAAAGTTTTCTCTTTTTGTTTTCCTTAATGGGGCATGTCTTCACCTGGCAGCTATTCTAAAGTTTTATGTTCTTCCCGTGGTAAAACTGTAATTTTGATAAGCCAGCCTAAGTTAAWGAACCTTTCTGTGAC